TAAATAAGTATGTCCGACCATTTTTTTGAAAGAGAAGCAAACGAGCAGAACTTTTCACTCGCCCTTTATTATACTCAATTTTAGTGAGTTACATAATTTCAAACCACATTTTTTTTCAACGATTCTAATTAAAAAGTTTGAAATTTTTGTGAAACATTGCAGAATTCATTTGTATAGTCTTTGCACAAAGTTGGAAATTTGGTATTACATATATGGTTTTTTGTTGGGAATAGAGCTTAACTTTTATAAAATAAATAATAAACATTAAAAAAACTAAGCCAAAACTTACTAGAATGTTGAGTCCTAATTTCTATTTTGGTCACTGTATTTATTCCTCGATTCGAATCACAGGTATTCAGATTAGAAACTGTTTATGGAGAAAATCATGATCATATACCAACATCACTTGACCGGACGGATGGTCACCGTATGTAGGAGTGAAATAGTGTGAACAATTCATGCGTAGTCATGAATTTCCACAAATAAATTCAAATTCTACGTACGTACGCGAATACACAGAAGCTCGAATACCACTAATGCTGTTCCATTAATGCATATTTGTATGTTTGAAACATTTTAATACAGCCACATGCATACTGCAGTAGTACAAGTGTATGGTTGGAGTACGCATACGCTCTGAGAAACCACACGTATTAAATAAAAATTAGGTAAGGCCATTTATACTGGAATATATAAACAGCCGCAAGTTTATGCCACCAACAGCGATGTCGTATGCAAAAAATTTCTATTGAACGGTCTATCGGTGCCAGTTAGTAAACACACGTGGTAGTTCCGACTGAAAGTAGGTAAATAAATAAATATTTAGCTATTTACGTAAATAAATAAATATTTAAGAGTTTTGTGAATGACACCAAAAGTATTGACGGTAGCTTAGGAGGTGTTTACTACTGGCGAATATTCAAATACTGTACGCAATTCACTATACTTGCACACAAATAATATAAGTTTAAGTAAATATTTTGGCTCACTGCACACTTTCTTGTTGAAAGTGAAGTGAATGTGTCTTTAATTCTTATTAGATACACACTTCGTCAAAGAATGAACTGTGGGCGTAGGTGAAAGCAGTCATGGTACATACTTTTTTGAAAAATCTTCACTCAACAAGAAAAAACTACACTTATTAAAATGTTTCCCGTCAATATTCCCTAAAATTTTTATCAAATAATTTGTTATAACATCAAAAGAAAACCCGAAAAAGTTTGACTACAAAATAGAGAAGGCAACAGAAACAAAGTCCCTTAATCCTGTTAAGGCGCTCATTCATATCTCTAATTCTCGTCTAATACTTACAACTTATTTTAGTAATCCTTGCTACTTACTCTCAAAATGTACACAATGCCGCAAATTTTCCAAAATTGATGAAAATTTAAAAAGCAAGCAAGCGCCAATTCGTGTAAAAATTAGCTGTGAACGGTAGTTTGAAAAAAAAAACATGAAGTTTTTGGTGCGGCTGCTGTAGTGTAGTGGTTTGCAGTGCGCGCTATCACTCCCCAGCGCCTGGGTTCAAGCCCTTGTCAAAACAACATCGCAAAAAAAATATAGAAATAAGGGTTTTTCTTAACAGCTGTCGCCCCTCTGCCATGAAAAACAGCTTCTCTTAAAAATACAATCGCCGTTCGCAGTTGGCGTAAAACTGTAGGGCCCTCCCCCTTGTGTGACAACATCAAGGCGGACGCCACAAACTGGAGGAGAAGCTCGACCAAACATCAAAAGAAAGCCGTAAAATGTTTGACTAAACCTGAAAATGCAATAAAATTATTTTGATTTTGACCTTGGGATGACCTTCGCATGACCTCTAAATGACCTTGAGAACTCCAGGACCCCCATATTCGGATTCAGCCACAACAAAACATTTTTTTTTTATTGAATACATTTTTTGTCCTGTTGACCCTCAAATGGCCTCGAAGCTGACATTATGGATGTTACCGGATCTCGGATTCGCATTCAGCATGTCGAATAACAGAGGGATATATAGGTTTGGTTTAATATGCATAACCTTTTTTTTGTAAACCTGTGTAATTTATAAAAAGCTGTCGTTCTTTTCCCGACACTAATTTTTTTCTAATAAAATCCCTATGGGCAGGGAATTTTCCCTACATGTACAAACACTAGGTGAAAGCAAATTTGGACCGGATCAAACCTTTACCCTGCGACAATGATGCAATTAAATAGACCAAACAAACAAACCTTAAACGCATATAGCTTTCTTACAAAATATATCGTTCAAGGCCGTTTGTTAGTGACTCAGAAGCAAAATTTAACTACATAAGACTCTTCTGTTTAGCCATCTTCTATAGAGATTGGAGGTAGTCCAGTTCATTCTCTCATCATCTTTGCCAATTATATCGGCTATAATCTAAGCCTAAAAACCACAGCAGTATTCGAGTATCCATATGACTAGTTCAAAGTAGCCAAGTATACCAATCGCACAATGTCCTGTCAGAACCCCCACCACTAGCGAGATCTGAGGCTTTTCAACCGTAAGGAGCGCCTTTGACTGCCCCCGGTCCACCTCAGAAGTACTCCGACGCGATTGATAGAGAGGTCCAAGATTCCTTTACCGATTGTGAGCGCACCATCATAGCGTTTAGGGCCCTAACAGACGTCACATTCTTTATCAGTGAGTCTACCGCTTCCTTGATGGCAGCTATTTACATCTGAAAACGCACTGCAGAAGTCCGGGTCCGGAAGTTTGAGCATAGTTTTTATGGAGAGTTCCCGACAGAAGACAGCTCCAACAACCCTGCCTCTACGCTTTGATCCGTCCGTGTATAAGTTTACCGCCCCCGCCCTTCCCAGTCCTCTCTTGAGGCATTGTAGTTGTAGTTCATTTATACTTTTTGTTAATTTTAATTATATTTTATGGAAGTATAGGTTGCCCTTTGACTAAACACATACAAAAGTTTGCAATGTTTGTGCAATTTTGGCTTTTTTTTTGATTTTTGGCATTTTTTTTTCGTTGACGATGGCAGTCATTCATTTGCTTCCATACGAAGTTTGCTCGACGATTTTTTTATATGAAGAAAATGAGCAAAACTTGCAAAAAAAAACATTTTCCAAAATCAACGGCAAGTACTAAAATTGAAGGGGATACTAGAAATCTAATTCAAATTAAAACAATATTTGAACTTAGATTTGTATGGTTTTTGTTAAAGAATAAACTGTACTTTTATAAATGAATAATCAAAATTGAAATGTAATAAATTAAATTGTCAAATCTTGTTTATATGCTAAATATATGATATAAAGTTTCACAGATTTTGGTAGGGTATATTAAAATACACCTTCACTAAAAATTTTAAATTGTTAGTATCAAAAACAACGGACTTATATGCCACTTTTAAAAAAAACCCAATCTGCTTTTGATTTAATTTTTTTATGTTTTTTGCTTCTCCTCTAAAATATAAAACTCAATGGTTAGGACCTTTGTAAATTAAGGCAAGGATGTGTCTCATTTAGACTTTTCCTGGACTTGCCGAAAATAAAAACATATCGTCGATGTTTTTGCAAAACTGCCCATCGCCTAGTTGCAAAACCGCCTATCTTATTGGATTAAAATTTTACAGGAGTGCGAAAAAACGATTTATTCTTTGAATTGAATTATTCTATGCCTTGATAGGCGGTATTTTCTCTAGCTATTATTTTACAAATCTGTTGTTTTAATAACGATTTAACGATTTTTATGCATAAATCTCGATGCCTGGAGTTCAGAGTCACCAAATTTTTCATTTCATTTTTGCCACAACGGCGATTTAGGCGGTTTTGCAACTGGTCGATGCTAAGTATCACACAGTATTAAAATTAATTTTACTATCTAAATACTCGGATACTTCAGTGCGCCCCTGGTGTATAAATATGTACATACAACAACTTTAATTTGTGCGATTGCAACAATAAGTGCCACAGAACTGCCACTCATTTTGTGCATGCAATAAGCAACAGCAACAATAACAAAGTAATTTTATTGTACAACACCAATAAGTGCGCTATGCAACGCTGCACATCATAACAACAACAACAACAACAACAACAGAAACTTTAATATATAATGCATATATGTATGAATATATGTACTCGTACATATGCATGTGGTTGGCAGCGCTTGATGCTCGGCTTCCGTCGCTATCTGTCAGTAGCGCCTTGTATGTAGGTACAAATATTCGGCCCGCCGATTGCAAATTGCTGATAAAGCTATTATATTCACATAAGTGCCACACATACACATTTATTTAAACAAATAGCTCCATATATTTATGTATGTGTGTATGTACATATGTATGTAGTAACTTTATAAGCATGATAAAGATCATTGTGGCGGCAAATCGGTAGCCAGGTAACTCATACGCCGACGAGTCGTACGCTGCGAGTTACTAAGTCAGCAAGGAAGCAAACAAGCTAAGTAGCAGTGCGAAGCGTTTCGCCAAGTAAAAAATGATTGATAAAGTCGCAGACACATTTGGAAAGGGTTCCCAGTGGCACTCTTCGTGTTGTTGTTGTTGTTGATGTTGGTGTCTGTGCATCCGTTACTGCTGCGCATTTTGTCACAGCCAACACATCGGGGAGTTGATATGGTGATAAATATTTATTTAAAGAGCGCGCTAATTGCATTTTTTTATGATTGCGAGTAAAATTGTTAATTGTGCGCTTGTGGCGTTTACTTAGTTGAATTGAGTTGCGCTTCATAGGGGCAGGTCTTGAGCGGAGGCAACGTATGAGGCGTTTGCTGCCTGCCTGTGTTGACGTATCCTGTCAGGCTGCCTGTGTGTTTGAACGCATGCGCAGTTGCATACATACACACATAAACGCGCTTACTTAAAACACTTTTCTAGGCATATCTGCGCATCACTTCCTTTATGTGGCATGCCTCCTATCATTTTTCTTTATAACCTTTCTTTGCAATTTTATTTCTTTATCTTCAATTACTGATGTATTAATAATTTATTTTTTATTTTTTTGCTGATGTTTTTACTTTCTTTATTCTTGCGCCCATTTCAGGTTCACTGCGTCCACCTGGTCTAATTGGTGGCTCCAAGCCAAAAGTTGCTACACCAACAGTTGTCTCAAAGATCGAACAGTATAAGCGCGAGAATCCAACAATATTCGCATGGGAAATACGTGAACGGTTGATATCGGAAGGTATGTATAAAAATATTTGATACGAGTAAAATATATACCTATGTATGTGTGTATGTACATATATAAAAATGTAGATTGCCTGTTAGGTGCAACCTCATAAACACCAATTAGAATGCAGCGCTGATTAAATGTATAATAAAACAGATATGCAACACATTGCCTCTACGCACATATGTATGTACATTAGAGTGGTCCAAAAATATATAGGAAAATCACTTTTTTTAATTTTTCTTGCTACCACCCCCCAGAACTGAAGAATATCAAAAATTAGGAGACACATATATTTTTGTTTTGAAATCGGTAATATTTATCCGTGCCGCCGGGGTTTTGAATTTTCCCATGCATCTTACATGGAGAAAATATACTTTTTCGTAAAATTGCTATAAAATAGTTAAACATAAATACTTTTTGATCGAATAAGATCATTTCCCTACAGAAGTCTTTGAAAGTTTTTTTCATTTAAACTGAAAGCGTTTGAAGAGATTCAAAAACATTTTTGTACGGGGTTGCCACCATTCTAAAAAACACAACAACGGCTATTAAAATTTTAAGCTCACTTAATACCACAATATGGGTATCAAAAGGAAGGTTTATGTACTCACAGAAAAGGTTTCTAAACAAACGAACTTTAGTTAACATATATTTTTGGATAGGGTTGCCATTTATCTATAATAAAAAAGTTTTTAAATCATGCTACATGCGGTTAAGTAAAATATGATTTTCAAACAAAATGTGTTAAAATAAGCTTTAGCCCCTACATATTTCTGAATGGAGTTGCCGCCTATCGCAAAAATTAAAATGAGTGCGATGCATCGTCGCTACCATGTCAAACTATTGAATGTGCAGAAATGCATATTGCATCATTTCATTTAACTTACATAATTACCTCATCTTAGTTAACAGATGGGTGGCAACTTTGTTTAAAAACATGCAAGTCTAAAGCATATGCGTACACCTTTCGTGTGATACCCATATTTTGGTATTAAATAAGCTTAATTTTTAAATAATCATTAATCTATTTTTTTTTTAGAAAGGTGGCAACTCCGTTCAAAAATGTTTTTAAGTATGTTCAAGCGCATTTAGTTTTGATGATTTTATTGGCCTTTAAATAATTTAATATTTTAAAATATCTGACAACCCTATATTTTAATTTTTTTTATAACAAACCTACAGAAAATATCGAGTAGAATGTAAAAAAGAAGTAAAAACTTTTACGAAAAAATGTATTTTCCCCATGTAAAATACATGGGAAACTTCAAAACCCCGGCGGCATGGGTAAATATTAATCGATTGCAAATTAAAAAGATACGCGTCTAATTATTTTTGATATTTTTCAGATCTGGTGGTGTGTCTGGAGGAAATTTTCTTGGACCACCCTAATGTAGATACATATATATAACAGTGTATAAGGCATTGTAGTAGCTTCCCTGCAGGAAACTTTAAGTTATCATGAAGTTGATTATGAAGGAAGTAAAAGCCACTATTATCTGCGTATTTTCTTTGAGTCAATGGTGGTTACCTCTGCATTACATGTCAACTAACTTGTGACCAACTACTTTTTGGCATAAAACATAAATAAGAAAGGCAATATATAATAGTATTTGTTTCCATATGCTGCTGTAGGTGGTTCCATATTCGAAATCCGTCAGACATAACTTCAAAGTGATTATATAAAATTTCTNATTAGGAGACACATATATTTTTGTTTTGAAATCGGTAATATTTATCCGTGTCGCCGGGGTTTTAAAGTTTCCCATGCATCTTACATGGGGAAAATATACTTTTTCGTAAAATTGCTATAAAATCGTTAAACATAAATACTTTTTGATCGAATATGGCCATTTCCCTTCAGAAGTCTTCGAAAGTTTTTTCATTTAAACTGAAAGCGTTTGAAGAGACTCAAAAATTTTTTGTACGGTGTTGCCACCATTCTAAAAAACACGGCTATTAAAATTTTAAGCTTACTTTATACCACAATATGGGTATCAAATGGAAGGTTTATGCACTCCCAGAAAGGTTTCTAAAAAACGAATTTTAGCTTACATTTATTTTTGGATAGGGTTGCCATTTATCTAAAATAAAAAAGTTTTTAAATCATGCTACATGCGGTTAAGTAAAATATGATTTTCAAAGAGAATGTGTTAAAATAAGCTTCAGCCCCTACATATTCCTGAATAGAGTTGCCGCCTATCAAAAAAATTAAAATGAGTGCGATGCATCGTCGCTACCATGTCAAACTATCGAATGTGCAGAAATGCATATTGCATCATTTCACTTAACTTACATAATTACCTAATCTTAGTTAACATGGGCGGCAACGTTGTTTAAAAACATGCAAGTCTAAAGCATATGCGTACACCTTTCGTGTGATACCCATATTGTGGTATTAAATAAGCATAAATTTTAAATAATCATTGTTCTATTTTTTTTTAGAAAGGCGGCAACCCCGTTCAAAAATGTTTTTAAATATCTTCAAGCGGATTTAGTTTTGATGATTTTATTGACCTTTAAATAATTTAATATTTTAAAATATCTGGCAACCCTATATTTTAAATTCTTTTATAACAAACCTACAGAAAATATCGAGTAGAATGCAAAAAAGAAGCAAACAATTTTACGCATTTTTTCCCCATGTAAAATACATGGCAAACTTTAAAACCCCGGCGGCATGGGCAAATATTAATCGATTGCAAAATAAAAAAATACGTGTCTAATTATTTTTGATATTCTTCATATCTGGAGATCTGGATTTTTTTGGTCCACCCTAATGTACATGTTTAGATACATATATATAACACTGTATATGGCATTGTAGTAGCTTCCCTGCAGGAAACTATAAGTTATCATGAAGTTGATTATGAAGGAAGTAAAAGACACTATTATCTGTGTATTTTCGTTGAGTCAATGGTGGTTACCTCTGCATTGCATGTCAACTAACTAACTTGTGACCAACTACTTTTTGGCATAAAACATAAATAAGAAAGGCAATATATAATAGTATTTGTTTACATATGCTGCTGTAGGTGGTTCCATATTCGAAATCCGTCAGACATAACTTCAAAGTGATTATATAAAATTTCGATCCTTCCTTTTATTTGTCCTGAACTCGAAAAAGTATTTGTGAAGTGCAGAAGAAAAGTGTATTCAAAGTAAAATTTGTATGAGGATATCTAAATAGAAACTTGTTTAAGGAAAACAAACTCCCGATTGGATCTGCTTGACTTCTGCAATACTTTTCAATAGTTTCAAGTTAGGCTTTTGTAGGTAACTATTAATAATATATTATATCGAAATCCCGCCAAAAATCTATCTACAAGGATGTTATTTTTTATCAATTCGTAATTTTTTTCTGCAGGNAGTATTTGTTTACATATGCTGCTGTAGGTGGTTCCATATTCGAAATCCGTCAGACATAACTTCAAAGTGATTATATAAAATTTCGATCCTTCCTTTTATTTGTCCTGAACTCGAAAAAGTATTTGTGAAGTGCAGAAGAAAAGTGTATTCAAAGTAAAATTTGTATGAGGATATCTAAATAGTAACTTGTTAAAGGAAAACAAACTCCCGATTGGATCTGCTTGACTTCTGCAATACTTTTCAACTAGTTTCAAGTTAGGCTTTTGTAGGTAACTATTAATAATATATTATATCGAAATCCCGCCAAAACGCTATCTACAAGGATATTACTTTTTATCAATTCATAATTTTTTTCTGCAGGGTGATTGCAAGCTTTTTCTCAAGCGTGCATGTTGTGTGTGTGTGTGTGTATGTATGTGTGTGTACCTTCGCACGCTGTTGGCTTCATTTAAGTCATTAGAGATTTTAATCCCATACTGTTTGTTTGCGCGTTGCTCGTCACTTGATTGATTGCCCATCTGGGCTAATGATGGCTTAAGTCAGCTGAAAGCGGCTTCTTTACTTGAGAGTTAGCGAGTGAGCGAGTGCATTGATAGATAAGCTNGTGTGTGTGTGTGTGTGTACCTTCGCACGCTGTTGGCTTCATTTAAGTCATTAGAGATTTTAATCCGATACTGTTTGTTTGCGCGTTGCTCGTCACTTGATTGATTGCCCATCTGGGCTAATGATGGCTTAAGTCAGCTGAAAGCGGCTTCTTTACTTGAAAGTTAGCGAGTGAGCGAGTGCATTGATAGATAAGCAGTCGGCTTGATGCAAAGCAATTTAATAACTCATAAAATGCCTTAAAAGCGTATTAATTCATTCTACTTCTTATACATAAATATACACTTATGTGTACATATGTAACTACATACATACATAACTGATGTATTGCGCCTTAAGTCAAGCTTAAGCTATTGAAGCATTTAATTCTGTAAAATTGTTCACAGATGAACTGATATCTATTCTACCATAAATCTCATAAATCTCAATGTTTCGATAAATGCGTTAAGATATGTATGTACATATGTATGTATGCAAGTAGAGCTAAATATGTGAAAGTTCATCTCTTTATGAGCAGCGATTTCTTAATGTAAGAGCTTTTAAACTTCCACTGGATGTTTCTAATGTAGAGATGCAACGGATAGTGATTTGGCTGGATAACGGATAACCGGCGAACTGCGTGCCCGGTTGACTGAATATCTGGCGGCGGAATAACAAGTCGATTGTCTTGTTGTTACCAAAATAAATATATTTTTAATTCGACAGAATACAGTACGTCTACGAAACTGGAGACGTTCCGGAAAGCTTTCTATAAGTATAACCCTGAACTTCAGAATCGTTAATTTTTACAATCATATGATTTATTAAATCACGTTGAACGAAAACAGTAAATGACAAGTTCGACACTTTGGTAATCTTTCACAATAGATACTCTGAGCACTCTATTAGTAAATTTTAAGTCTTTTCCAAGTTTTCGAACTACCGAATTCTACGAGCATCTCCTTTTTTCGATGACGGGTACATATGGGTATAAGTAATATTTAAGATAGGCGGCAGCTTTATAGAAAGTTTCCAAATTGTTAATTAAAAATTTTAAACCTTAATTTATCAACAAGTTTTCGAATTCATATCCATTTATTTGTATGTATATTTCCCTCACAGCCGTTTGCACAAATACCACTGCCCCATCGGTCTCTTCCATCAATCGTATACTGCGCAATCGCGCTGCCGAGCGTGTGGCTAGTGAATTTGCTCGCACCGCTGCCTATAGCCTCTATCCACCACATCCTTATGGCGGCTTCACTTGGCATCCCTCGGCTGCGGCGGCTGCGGCAGCAGCGAACGCCCCAACAGCTGCACATTTTTGGCCCACACAAGCGACAGGGCCAACGCTTACTACGCTCCCACCATCCGGTGGTGGCGGCAGTGGTGGTGGGTGTGGTAGTAGTGCTGGCAGCGCTGCAGCTAGTGGTCTGCTAACAAGCAATAATCGTGCAATATCGCCCGGATCAGGTAGTCGTGACACTCTAGAATCGCCGGATGATAGTCGGCATGTGGATTCAGATTACTTGGATGATGATGATGAGCCAAAATTTCGCCGCAATCGCACTACGTTTAGTCCGGAGCAATTGGAAGAGCTGGAGAAGGAGTTCGATAAGAGTCATTATCCTTGCGTGAGCACGCGCGAGCGCTTGTCTAGCCGAACGTCGTTGAGTGAGGCGCGAGTGCAAGTAAGTAGCGTAGCAATCTTAATTTCAAGTGCTCCCTTTAGGTGTATGGTACTGAAAATATTTATGTATATACATTAGGGCGGAGTAATTTGTTCAGAGCAAATTTTTTGTAGAAGGTGTATAGCAAAGTAAAATTCTACTATTAATTCTCAGCAAAAATGGCGAACAAATTATATATATCAAACATGACGTTTGACCCTCCCAATTTTCAAAAGAAAAAGCAGTGTATTACATAATAAAACACAAATTTTGGAAAAGAAAAATTAATTTCGGNTGTTCAGAGCAAATTTTTTGTAGAAGGTGTATAGCAAAGTAAAATTCTACGATTAGTTTTAAGCAAAATGGCGAACAAATTATATATCAAAAATGACCCTCCCAATTTTCAAAAGAAAAAGCAGTGTATTACATAATAAAACACAAATTTCGGAAAAGAAAAATTAATTTCGTCCAGAAAAAATTATAATACACTAATTTTTCTTTTAAAAATTGGAAGGGTCGAACGTCATTTTTGGTATATGGTTTATTCAGTATTTATCTTTAGAATAGAACGTAGAATTTGAATATGCTATCATCGGCGTAGCCAGAATGAAATGTAGGGAGGGCGCTTGACCCTATCAAGCTGGCATTTCAGGGTACTATTTCATATATATATATAAGGAAAATTTGAAAGTTAAGGGGGGGTGGGCTCGAGCACCCCCCTTCCCCTACCTGGCTACGCTCATGTATACTATACACTTTTTTTGAAATTAAATTACTCTGCCCTAACATACATATTTCTAAGTTTTGAATATGAATGAGCATCCTGCTTACATCCACACCAACGTCTATATGCATAATCTTATCTAATGTATCCTATATCCATATCCATATGCACAAGCATATCCATATAGATACATATCCATTTACAAGTTCATATTCATATCCATATACATATTCATATCCATATCCACATCCATATTCATATCTACCCATATCCACATCCGTATCTTTATCCATATCCATATCGATATCCATATACAAACTCATATCAATATCTATATCTATTTCCATATCCATATCTTTATCCATATCCATATACATATTTATAAACATATCCATATCCGTATCCATATCCATATCTTTATCCATACCCATATACACATTCGTATCCATTTCCATATCTATATCCATAACCACATCCATACCCATATCCATTCCCATATCCATATCTTTATCCATTACCATGTTCATAGATATCCATATCCACATCTATATCCATATCCATTTTCATTTTCATACCATATATGTACATATCAATATCCATATCCATATCGATCCCCATTTCCATATCCATATGCGCATCCATATCCATATCGATCCCCATTTCCATATCCATATCATTATCGATATCTATTTCCATATCCATATCTTTATCCATATCCGTATCTTTATATATCCGTTCCATATCCAAAATTATCTGAATGGAAAGTTCCACTGTTGTAGCGTGCCCCTACTTTCGTTTTCATTTTGCTTGAATATACTTTAACCGTTCTTTAATTTTTATTTGCTTCACTCAATCACTCATTGCAACTTTTTGTTCTTTTATCCGCTGCTTGCGCATTCAATAGTCGCGTTTATTTTTGAACTAACCACATCGTCCTTTCCGCATTGATCAATTCAGGTTTGGTTTTCCAACAGAAGGGCGAAGTGGCGCCGCCATCAGCGCATGAATCTACTGAAGCAGCGCTCCAGCCCCTCCGGCCATCCACACGTTCCGCATTCACAGCCGTCGCCCGAAAGCAACAACAACAACAACAACAGCTACAGCAGCAACAACAACAGCCTCAATCACAGTCACAGCCACAGCCATGTATCATCAGCGACAATGGGCGTGGCCGCTTCACCGACCTCCAGTTGTCACAGCAACAGCAACGCCTCTACCTGTGCGGCCAACGACCAACAATCAGGGCATCACCATTACTCGATTGGCGGCAGTCACATGGCGGCGACAGCAGCAAGTTCTCAAGGGAGCGAATTGGAATTTCGACCGCTCGGACACCATTTCACGCACCATGCTGCTCATCCGGCGAACAGTACTGCTGCGACAATGTTGCTCAATCATTACAGCCAACAACAGCAGCACCACCACCAACAACAACAACAGAAGCAGCAACAATTGGCCGCCAAGGCGCATTATACGGCGACAGGCGGTCAGCTGCAACACGCAGCGGCGGAGGTGAACATGGAGACAGCGGCAGCTGCGGCGGCGGCGGCGGCACAGCAACAGCATCCGCAGCACTTAGCCGCCACGCTAGCGGCCAGTATAGCGACATCACAACAACAACAGCAGCATCAGCAACAGCAACAGCAACAACACAGCCCATCGCCCACAGCATCAGCGCCATTATCCATGGGCGGTGAGCATAGCGCCTTCCGCTCGCTAGTTGGTTCGCCCTCTGCGGCGGCATTTGCGCACTTAGTGCGGCAATATGCAGTGGCGGCGACATTATCGGCAAATGTCGCTAGCATGGGTGGCGCGACGGATGAACTCAAGCAGCATCAACAACAACAACAACAACAACAACAGCTGGTGACTGTGGATGATTCCTCTGAGGATTCGGAAGAAGAGATCAATGTGCATGACGATTCTGAAGATGAAGTGGAAGTACTGCGACGTACGACGCGCGGCGGTGCTGTCCAGCAAAATGTTGGCTACAGCGGCAATAATAACAACAATAATGGCAATAGCGCAAGTGCCGCTGACAACAACAATCTAGGTAACGAAATGTTATCGCTAAGCGGCAAAGCGCCTTTACAGCTTACCAAGCATGACCGTTGAGCGGCCGTTTTGAAACGCATAGCGGCGAGTAGCATTCTACAAATTTATGAATATGTATGAGTGTACATAATCGCGTGAAGCAGGGCGTTACGCGCACGGATTGCATTTCAACTAAATTTGACAAACCTGACTCGAGGCGCGCTTGTGATTGACATCGGTCCGTCCGTAACTTAGTTGTAGCTGGCGCATGCGCAATGCACGAAGCGTGAGCGTAACTACATACTGGCCCCGTATATGTAAGTATGCCGCGCAGCTAGAAACGTCTGTGTTTGAGACAAGTCGCCGCCGCCGCTGCTGTCGTTCGCGCGCTAGTCGTGTCTCGTCGATTAATTATGAAAGAAACTTGAAACTTGGCGGGCAACAACAGATACTTTGTACTTAGCGCTGCAATGGTAAGCCAAACAAAACTAAATAAAATAAAAAATAACTATTCAAATGAGCTTGTTCGCTTAGCAAAATTACTACACCAGCAAAAAAATAAATACATAATTTTAAACCAAAGTAATTAACAAAATCGTATAATACTACAGTAGCGACAACGAGCGTGCGCTTGCTATTTAACATAAACAAACAACAACAACAACTTTGAAATACTACACAAACTTGCGATCGTTGTTATTGTTGCACTCGCTGGCTGGGCATATATAAGTGTACGAGTATATATATATATATATATATATAGATGTACATACATAAATACAGTAGCTAAAAGAAAAACAAATTTAAAAAAGGAATAGCTTATTTTATTGAAAACCAAATAAAAAATACAAAAATATGAATTATTGTCGCAAAATAAATTTAAAATTCTAAGCGATGCATAAGTAAAAGTGTTTGTAAACAAATTCTTGCAAGTAATACATACAAACATATCTAACTTGCTTGATAATATCCATAAAAATATATACATATGTATTTGCATTAGGGTGCATCATTCTCCACACAAAAAAAATGTGTTTTTGTTTCTCCTTCAGAATAATTAAGTTTATTACATTTTAAAACGTACGCCAAAATATGCCGGAAAATCTTAACATTACGTGAGCTGGACCGATTTGGAAATAGCTGCAAAAATCGTTTTTTTATAAATAGATTTTAAAAATATTTTCACCACAAATCATCTCATATGATAGAAAATGTACTCACGTAAGCTGGACCTATTTGAAAATGCTTTCAAAAATCGATTTTTTTTTTATAAAAAAAAATAGTTTTTAAATATTCACAGTTGATAGAAAATTTTAGGCTTATTAACGGAATCAAATCGGTCCAGCTTCTTTAAATCAATCTTAATATTTATCCAAAAAATTTTGGCGAAAGTATTAAAATATACGAAGTTTTATAATTGCGGTATACAAACCACAATTTTTTTTGGTGAGGTACCCTAATGTACATACACATATTTGTAAATAATTATAATTCTAAATTAACAATTTTTAAATCACTTTAATCACTGCAGAAGGCCACAAATGACAATTTTACAGGATAAGCAAAAGCTCTCAAAATTAAGCGAAGTGCACATTTTCAATTAAAAAAAAACAATATATAATACAATTTTTTCTAGAACTTAAAGTTTTTAAATTTTCTCTAAATTTCTGCTTGCTTGCCACCGATTAAGAAAATTACAATTGAATTGGTATAAAATATCTACTTCTTTCTGTTCAGTTCTGAATATTTTGCATATACATTTTAATTTTTAAAATGATTTTGATCACCTAAATAGGTGGCAACTCTATTAAAAAATACGTTTAGATCAAATAATTCTATAATATTTTTTTGCGATTACCACATTTCAATATTTCATATGCCCAAGTTGCTAAATTCACTTTGGTAGGTGGCAGCCCTATTCCCAGCGTGAGATTTTCCAAAATATCTTTTCCAACCATAATGGTACAATATAGTTAGAGAAAAGTATGGCGTACCATTCTATTCGACACTTTCGCATGGCTATGGGTATTTGATTTTGTAAATTCTTAAACTATAGAAAAACTGCTAAAGTCACATAGACGACTTTATCAAGGATTCATTAAAATATAACATATATTCAAATGTATTTCGAAGTATAATTAATTATTAAGTATACATTAGGGCGAGTCAATTTGTGTGGGAAATATTTTCGACTATACCGGTAGGGTATAAGAGTATTCTACGTCAAATCCTAAAAACTTTGGCGAAGAAACTATGGTGGGCCTAAAATCAATTTCGAGCTTGCCAAATTGTGAAAAGTTGTTAGTTTTTCCTTAGCAGCGTTTTAATTTTCTGCAGTGTAAATTTTTATTAGGAAGCCATAATTTGAAAAAATGTAAGTAATTAAAAAATTTTAATTTTTTAGTTGTGCCGGCTTGAGGTCAAAAGCTTTTCTTTATAAATTTTAATTAAAACGCAGGGTTTTAATTTTTTTCGAATATATTTCGGTTACATCATCATCTTAAAAAGATTAAATTATCATTTAAATTTTAGTTGTGTGAAAAAAAATGTAAGGGACAGTGAAAATGTGCTAATTTTTCACATTTCAGCATGTTTTAAGAAAAAGATAAGTCCAAAAATGAATTCCTCATACCAAAAACTCTTATGGTATGAGTTTATAAAAAAAACTTAACACTTCTTTGCGACGCTATGTATAACTAAAAAACAAAAAAACGTTGCTAAGAAAAACACCTATTTTCGTATTTTGCAAAGCTTGAAAGTCTCTTCGAATTTCGCGTAGTATTATTCTATGCCATACCTACAAAGTCAAGAAAAAGTGACCCGCCCTACTACATATTCAGAAACATATATAGTGAGTGACATAATGATAAGTTCACCCACATAATGATAAGTTTTGACTATTTAATATTTTTTTTTCAATTAGCCAATTCTATTATAATGAAGTGCAAGCTGCAAGTGGCTTTTTTTGGCAAGTTTTTTGATGGTGTCACGCATTTTCTTTCATACAAAGTATGTCGGAGAAACTGCATACCCAACCTAATAACCAAAAATTATGAATAAAAAGCGTGGTGTTTTAATGGAAAAATGGTTTTTTTTTGTATTTTGCACAAAGTTTTAAACTTGAATTTATAGGTGTTTGGTTATAAGTAGACTAAACTACATTTTCAAAAAAAAAAAAAAAATATATATTAAAATTAATTTCAAAAACGTCAAAACTTCTCAATATGTCGGTAACCTTATCATTATGTCACTCACTGTATTTGTGTATACATATGTATAATAACATAATAAATTCAATTGCAATAATATAGTATTACTACTTAAAAAATCGTTTCATTACATACCTAAGTATCATAGTATGTATCTAATAGTAACTAAGTATTCAATGAGTAGTGGAATAGTTATATAATTATATAAACAATATTTATTGTAAATATTTACTATTCAGAAATAAAAAAGAACATTGCAATTATAATTTTAATTTAGCGCGCATGCTGTGTGTATGTACATTTGTGTGTGCAAATGCTATGAGAGGGAGCACACAAACCTTAAATGGCTACATACTATCTGAATGTGTTAGGTAATTAATAAATTATCCAATAAATAAATATCAAATATAAATTAAAAATAATACTACAATATTTACATATGATTTTTATTTAATAAAAAGTGAGCTTACAATTGTCTTTATAAGGTTTGTATGCAAATTTTTATCATTTATTTTTCCAGTGATTCTGTAACCATTTTCGCCACAGATTGAAAATAGAGCAACTTATGGAAAAAGTCATAAATATGCTTATGCTAATAGAATATACCTACATCAGACCTGTATCACCTTACAAGCAAACAAACAAAAAAAAAGTTCACCGTACACCCCTGAGTCAAAGTATTTTTTGTTGTTTTTGTTGGAATAATCGAAATACTTTAATAATTTTTGGTGAGCTTTAATTTGCTGGCATTAGGGTGGTGCGTTAGGGTTTTAAAAACTGATATGTGAGTGCTAGAACGGGGTAGGTACTTGAGATCAATGAACTTTGAAATATTTTGTACTCGAGACAAAAACATCGATACACATTAGGGTGGTCCTTAAATGTGGTAAGCAAATTTTTACATTAGATTAGTCGAAGATATCACTCATTCATATCATTAAGGCGTGTACTCTAAGGAGACTCCAAAAATTTAAATAACCTTTTTTCTTCATAAATATCTAAAATCGTTACTACCATAGTCGAAGATATCACATGTAAATTTTTGTGCCGATTGAAATCGGTTAAGCCGTGTTGCACAGCAGTCAAAGTTCAGATAACCCTATGAAGACGTCGGAACCGACTCCAATCGAGTCAAAATTTATATGTGATATCCTCGACTTTAGTAGTATCGATTTTGGGTATTTGATGAAAAAACAAATAATAATTTAAATTTTTTGAGTTTCTATAGAGGAATCTACACTTTGCCCCCTGTGCGACACGTCCTAACCGTCTCCAATCGGGATCAAAATTTATATCTTATATCTGTGACCGTGGTATTACCGATTAAGGGGGTGCGACTGAAAAAATCGTTATTTTGATTTTTAAGGACCACCCTAATATACATATAATACATTAATTTCCGACTTTAAATGTACATAAAAAGGCAAAAATATATCAGATTCGGAGGAGTATGGCGAACTTTTTTTTCTGGTCCGGTGATCGGTTGTTATTGGATTTATTTTTTACATTACACAAAACTTCATTGAAATCGTATAACGTTTAGCATTTCCGCCCTCTAATGAAGTGGGCGTGGCAGTGATAATACTTTTTGCAACATTTTATTTGTATGACACAAATCCGCTTTCGCCCGGTCTGAAGCGGTCGTTAGTGAATCATCTGAATCATCGGTCACACTTCGAAACCCAGTGAAGGCAGATTGCGGCCCTCTTCACGCTTTTGCTAAAGCAGTTTATTTCAAAACTTCCAAAACTATCAACGCAGTACACGAGAGAAACTTTTGTATGGAGCATAAATGTACGGATTTCAGTTCACCCTCGGCTTTTGCGTTTGTGCATCAGTGCAGCACACCCTTAANCGCAGTACACGAGAGAAACTTTTGTATGGAGCATAAATGTACGGATTTCAATTCGCCCTGGGCTATTAAATGTTCACTCAGGTATCTTTTGCGTTTTTGCATCATTGCAGCACACCCTTATAGAATGTGCAGTGTAGTCTCGATATCCGTTCTACAAAATCTGCATCGTTTCTGCGAGTAAATTCCTAGTTTAGTTAGGTAATAATTCAGCCTGCAATGTTCTGTCAGGATTCCTGTATTATTATTTTTAATTTATTCTTAGACGAACTCATACATTCCTTAAAACACTTTAGCTTATACATGGCGCTATCGATTGCTTTAGACCTGGTATATTATCCCAGTACGAATTAATGAGCCTCTTCCTCTAAAAGGGCCAGGTCAAACAGTGCCCCTTTGCCTATGCCACAGAACTGCTTTAGGCCGATGAAAGGGGTTGATGCTCCTTTCTACGCAAGTTTATCAGCAATCGCGTTTCCTTCAATAGCAATATGTCCCAGAATCCAGAGAACCTAAACTCGATTGGTCAGACCAAAACTATTCAGCTCAGCAAGGCACTACATCAGCAGTTTAAATGTAACCGGATGAGATCTGATAGCCTTAATCGCAATGTTCTGATTCCGGTAGTTCCGCTTGATATTAAAGTCCCCCCACCTCTCTAGGGCGCATGTTTCAGCCTGGAAAATGCACGTATGTTTTCCCAGGGGTTTCGAGTAACTTAAGTT